AAGATGAATCAGTAAGAGCAAGGCCAACTTCACTACTGGTATCCTACTACATTAAGTATTCATCTGCTTTTTGACGATAACAATTACGTAATTTTACAAGAAAGTTTTAGACTAGATGCCTCTGAAGGCATTTTTTACCCTGAGCTGATACAATAAAGCCCACCTTGTTCATCGCTTATGCCACTTACATTAACATCCTCACGAATTCCTAGAGGTTTCTTTTTCCTGATATCACAAAGCAAATCTGTAATGGTTTCATTGTAGATTTCCATGTAAGAAACTCTCAGCAAGAATTCCCTGTCTGGAATCTAAAGATAAAAAACCCCACAAACCACAGATCAGACTAAAAAGCAATTTTTTTTATTGCAAGTATTCTGAACTCAGAACTACAGGCATGGATACTGTTCCACAGGTTTCCCGCCTCCCGCCCCCCATCCTCTTTGTACTTTAATATCCTAATTCCTGGTAGATGCTATCACCAGAACACTTTTCTTTCATTCTTTCCCTCCCTTTTGCTGTACTAGTGGTATATCACTTTTAGTAGATTGTAAGAGTAAAGTAACTCCTCTACAAAAGTGCAATAATGGATTTCCCATTTAACTGTCCTTCCCATATTTAATTTCCTCCTGCTGAGGTTCTTTTCTCTCTAGGTACCTAGTCTTCTCCTTTGCTTGCTTGGACTTACTTTGCTGCTGCTTCTGCACAAGGACTATAGCACCACAGAAAGTTTTCTTGGCTTCAGTTGCTCTTACAGACTCTGAGGCTTTCTGCACCGCAAAGGAGCGGCAAGTATTTCATACAACAGATATCGATAACCTGATATCCTCAAGGCAGAAGCAGGTGCTCTGCAGACCAAGTTTTGGAAAATACTACTTGAATTTATACCTTTACCTTACTTCCTATAACACAGTATCACGCTGAGGGCCCAAATCTCACATTATTTATTTTTAGGAGGACTCCTATGCAATTAAATAAGTTATATAGATCTGGAAATATGATGATATGCTACATAATATAAGATCTAGTTGGATCTCTTGTGTGTCTGCACAGTAGACTGCTATACTAACACAGCACAAAAGGCTGATAAACTGAAGGCGCTTTTCCTTTTCTAAGAAAGGCCAACAAGAGTGCACATTTGAAGGCCAGAGTTGATCATAGCTATTTCTACTGGACTCTGAATATCAATAGAACATAGCAGCACTTCTGTGAAGTTAGTTCTTCACCCACTCCCCCCAATATCCTCAAATCACAGGCTACTATTCCATTCCCCAGCAATGGGACCTCAGCTTCCTATGCTCAGACGGTACAGCTCTAAGGACTCTTTTCCAGTACGACTGGGGCCTGCATTATACCTAAATCTGTACGTTGTAGGAACCATCAGCAGTGAACTATCAAACTGATTCTTTTGAAAGCCTGAAATAAGTTTAGTCCTCCCACTTTTAAAAAAGTGTCTTTTAAATATAGTTTATTTCTTTAAAGGTAAGTTTTAAATAACAAAACAGAACACAAAGCTTCCTATTATTTTACCTACCACTTATTAAGAGTGAGCATCTATTTATGCTTGTAATCAAAGTATATTTGCAAAAGAAGGTTTTTAAACAGAAAGCCCTGAAGTTTATACTGATCTGATGCAAACTATTAGAGCTCCATTATCATAGTTACTACTTACAACTCCGCAAGGCTAGCCAAGCGGCTGCAGCATATCTTCACATATAGTTTGTTTCCTTCACAAACTCCTTGCTACACAAACTAGTTTGTTCTTCCAGTGTTTGCAAACACTGCTAACACTTTCAGTCACTTCAATTCAACAGAATTACTCACCTCACAAATGATTTTGAAGACATGCTGAATTGCCTTTGGGATAATGCCCACAGAATCATCATTTCCCATCATTGTATATGTCTTCCCTGAGGCAGTCTGTCCATAGGCAAAAATTGTACCTAGAAATATGATTAAACATTACTGATGATTTATGAGATACATTACAAGAAGGATTTAAAAACAATTTCAAAACTTACCATTGTACCCCTGCACTGCTGATTGTATAATTGGAACAGCTACACCTTCATACAACTGTTGAGTGTTGTCACTTGAGTGAAAGACACGATCTCAAGAAAAAGTAAAGCACGTAAGTCAATTACATTGAAAGTCAAAAATAAGTGTCATCTTACTTATTATTGGTGACTTCAAATCCAATACAATAGACATCACATCTTTTGCAGGATTATTCAAACATAAAATGTAGTTGTGATACTACTAAGTAGTACTTAAAAAAAGTTAAAAATTCAAACCAAAAGAGGTATGACAAACAGACAACGCACTAGTCAAAAAAAAAAACCCTAAGAATATGATCTTGACAGTTAAATCGCCATTCTATGTAGTGCTAAAAATTGCTATGGCTAATTTATCTTTTAGGATTGCAAGTCAGAAAATGTAGGATACTTGTTTAATCCTTAGTTTAAAGCCTGTGTTTATTGGATCTAAGTGGGGGGGAGGGGCAATCTTGTGGTAGTTAATTCATAGTAACAAATAGCATAGGAACCCATAAGGTAAGGAACCCATAGAGTGAAACAGTTATGAGGCTCTAACATCTGCTTTAGGCACTCATCAATACTGGATGACAAGGGCAACTCCCCCCCCACAAATGCTCTGGACTAGCCCTGGTCTGGTGCATTTGTAGCTAAAAATGCATTAGTACACCTCAGAGTGCATCTTCCAGTTTACTTTCATGCAAACGTGAGTTAAACTCATGCGCTCTGAGACCATTCCACACTGCGGGCCAGAACAGAAAAAGCAAGGACAATCAGGAGAACAACTTCAAAAGTATACTCCTGATCCAAATTAAAACACAAACCCTGTGTGCCCCAGAGACACTCCTTAAAAATTATGAAGTTAGGGGAAGAAAAAAAAAAAAAAACAGAGATGTTATAAACACTAAGTTAATTGTTGTCAGCATATATTCATATAGTAATGAAGGTCTCTGCGAGCACCAAAAAAAGTTTTTTTGATCTCATATTCTTACCATAACTGAAGACTTTTGTACCATTCACTTCTGCAATAGTATTATTTTCACTTTTCCAGTAGAGTGACAATTTATCGTCTAGAGCATTTTCTCTTAAAAAAAAAAAAAAAGTTACTCTCTTAATCTTATCAGGCAAGAACTACTAGCATTACCCCATTTATTTTATACATTTATGTTTTCTTTTTTTGAAAAGAGACTTTGTCACATATTAACTGAGGACACTCAGCTCATTAACAAAGGCACAGATATAGGCTGCAGCATCCCCCTTTTTAAGTCTTTTCAGCCAAGGACAGAGAAATCAAAAGTGGGGGTGTGCTAGGTTGGAGACCAACCTCCTTATTCTACAACAAAACAAACAAACCAACCCCCACATAACGGGCCAAACTGAGAGGTAACACTCATCATTTCTCAGACTAAAGAAAAAAGAAAAAGAAAGAAAGAAAGAAAAAAAACTACCAGCCAAGAAGAGTGTCTAGACCGAAACGTAACCCGAAGGATCCAGGAGCAACACACTCTAGGCTGCCTGTCTGCCTGCCCGCCCGCCCCAGGCGCGGGACCGGGCTGCTATAACGCAGGGTCCCTCTCTGCCGCCAGCACCTCCCTTCCCTTCCCTCAGGCGCTCGCAGCCCTGCTCGTTCCGGCTCTCTTCTCCCTCGCTCCCCG